TATTTTCATGGGTGACATTTTAATATGTAGTCCCATACCGATATATCTTAGAAAACCTTTGTAGGAACTCAGAACAAGATATCTGGATTCTGAGTTTGTACCTTGGAGCAAAGTGTTGAAGCAAAGTGGGAAATCAGGGAATTGCAAAAAGTTGCCACAGTTGTTTTCACTGGTAGAGTCAGAATCCTCATTTGTCTCTGCCACTGAATTGCTGCTAGGATTGGTTTCAGTTTTAGAGGTGATGATTGAAGGGTTCTTTTGAGAAACAGTGCGACTCACAGACGTTAGAAGTCTCAGAATGGGGAGGTGGAGAATACTTGAAAGCAGCTTAACCACATCTTGTAAAGAACCTGTCAAAAGACGCCCTGCAGTTACTTCGTAATGGATGGACATGGGGGAAACGGCCCACTGGTGACAAAATGTTACCTGAGCTCAGTGTTTTATCTTTTTTTGTCTTTCTTTCTCAGCTCATAATGACTAGAAAAGCTACAATTAGGGACAGAAAAACCTAATATGGAGTAAAACCTTCTACTGTCTTGACGTGCATGTTGTCAGAGAACAAAAGGACTGTTAACCGTGATGCACCTAAAAATAGCTTTCTGCATCTAATTATTGTTTGCTCCAATAAGAACAACAAAGCCAGTGGATATCCAAACTATCACAGTTTAGACAAACACATTTCTAATTCCAAGAGAAAATAGCTCTCTCAAGAATCAGTACCAAAGAATTTGTCCCTCCCTTGTTTGGCCTAAGAAAAAAACCATTATTATTATTTGTTTTGCCGCCCTGTTTTGGGGGGGTTCGTTCATCCATAGCTAGTTTTTATTCCTTCAACATTAATGTAAATGCTTTCAGTGGAGAACAATACAATAGTATTAGTATCTAAAGGTTTGATTGTTGTAGTATAGAGTAGCCAGCTTTACAATCAAATAGTTTGTCTCTCAAGACAAACTATTTCGTGTACTGTATTTGTGAACCGATCAAACAGTATTTACACCTCACATTTAGAGAGTCATAGCAAATTTCATCGCTTCAGTTTATTCCTCTTCACTGACAAAACATCCACCAACGCTCCAGGGTTAAGTCTGAATGAACAAAAGAAGGTCAGTCTGAGTGCTGCCATAGCAACTTTTGGACTATAGCTGGCAAATGCTAAATCCTCTCTTTTTACTTCATACAAAAAATTGGTATTTTAACAAGATTTTGTTGAATTAATAATAAGAACAAAATGTAAATATGTGTGCTGGTATGTTTAAGCCAGTACAGTAAGGTCTGATATATAAACCTGATTAATATTTTACACCCGTGGTTCTTATCCTTTTTTCAGTGATGAAACCCCTGTGAAATATTTTGTACTTTTTTGTCCAAGTACTCCAAAAACCAGAAGTTTTATTTTAAAATGCAGCAGTGTGTCATCACTGTCTGACTCATTTTTGGTAACTGCAAAAACATGTTTCATGGTGGTTTAAGTTGCCAGTGATTGACGGAGTGAACCTGAGAAGCATACTGAATACAAAATGATTGAGTTTCTAAACTTTTACTCATATTTTATTAAAATATTTATGAACTATAATTTTTAAAAACATTTTATTTGGTGATATTTTAATTTTTGTATATCTTGCATACATCCCAGGAGTCCCTCCATCTACTGCAGGGGTACATGTGGGGTACTTTGGTTTGAGGGAACGTGTAAGAATATTCAAAAGGTCCAGTGGAGGATATACTTCCTGCATCTGTAAGGGAAGTTCAGTCTCCCACAGGAGCCACTCGTCCTTTCATACACCGCCGTAATTTAGTCTTTCCTTTGCAAATCAACCACAATGGGACATTTAGAACAGCAGAGAGGACCGTTAGTGTGCCCTGCATCCAGGTTTTGTACTGTTTACAGAGTAAAAAGGGCAGGAAACAATGTCGGGGAAATCAGGAATATATTCTGTTTTTTCTTCCACTGCCCTCAAGTAGATGCTTAAGGACGATGTTTGCAAGCACCACAAGACTCAAGAAAACTTGAGTGGAGGCACTTTAAGCCCTTAATTTGCCAAAGGGAAATCTTTTTTCCCTCAGCCAATCACTATGGTCGACACTAACTAAATATGGTCAATAGTGCACTCGCCAATATTGCATACTACAATACAATACTATAAACATAACACTTTGCACAGTAGACCTTCGAAAACACACACATTTTACACTTAGTGTTGTATATAGACCTTCGAAAACACACACATTTTACACTCAGTGTTGTATATACTTGGTGTAATAAGTATATTCTCTGTTTTTTAACTTTTAAAACATTTCTCTTTTATTATATTAATTATCTCCCCAGGTATTAATATTAGTAGAAAGTATTTTGGGTTCTGATTTTAAAATATCAGTAGCACACAATTTGTATGCACATCTGTTAACTGCTGTGCAACAATTCTAATGTGATTTATGGAGTTGGTAAAGTTCCATCCCTGCTCGTTGGTTTTTCACTGGTAATTTATTGTGCAATTTATCCTTTCTCTGTTTTGTCCTTGTCTTCTGTGTGTGGATTTATCTTTAAGGAATATTTAAAGGAAGGAAAGACAAAAATAATATTTATTTTATCTCCGTTCAAACTTGATTAGTGAAGCTTATTCGGAAAGAGGGCGGCCCCCTGAAAAAGCTACGAGCGCCACTGTCCGTTTCTTACCGTCTCTTTGACACTGGACACACGGAGCTTCGATGGCCGCTTCCTCTCCCATTTAAATCCTTAATTTCATCGATTTAACTGACGTGTGGAGTTTGTTTCAACGAGGATATTTACGTCAACAGTCTACGCGTAAAGACCAGTTTGCTGGAGCGGAGTTTTTTCCCCCCCACAACGGCTGGTGATTGACTCACGTGTGCGAGTGGAAGCTGCAGTCAGTCGCCGGTTAGTGCACGGTTTGAGACGTTGTTAATTTCATCAGTGTCTGTGAGACTGTCGGTGTGGCGCCAGGTCATGTCATCGTGTTTGTGAAGCTGCTTCTTGTTTGTGCTTCTGTTGTCCGCTAATAAACGTCGGACTCCCGGGTGTTGGTAGCTGTTAATGACATAGCAGGGAAACGAACGCCGCGACTTCACGGCTGTAGACGCTCTGTTTTTGTTTGTTTTTATTTTGTTGGCCTTTTAGGACCTTGTCTTAAATTAAATCTCCCAACTGAAAAAAAAGTAAGGCGGGAACCTTCGGCTTAACTAAGTGTCTGAGTGAATGTGATGTTATTTTAAAGGGTCTGGGTGGGTTCTATAAATGGATGGACGTAACTGCAGTGTTCTAACAACATCTGGGAGAATGTGTATTTGGTGTGTTTTCCTTGTATAGCTGTACATGTGGGGACACATGTTTGGGAAAATGCAGTTGATATGGGGACACTTTGTGTTTGTGGGGACATTTTACAGGTCCTCACTGACTAAGTGGGTATTTAAGGATCAAGATTTAGTTTGGAGTTAGGATTAGAGTTAGGAGTTTTGAGGATAAGGATTAAGGTTGTGTGTATATTTTGGAATGGCCAGGGTAAGGGGCTTAGGAATGCATTGTGTCTACAGTATGTGAAGTCCTCTCATCCACCTGAGATGTAATTAACAAAGCTGTGATGGAAGGTTGATAAAGGCTGTGACTAATTATTGGATGTTGCTGTACTGCCATAATGGCTGGATGTATTTCACATATTGCCCCAAAATACCTAAGTGGACTGTGCATGCTTAAAAATCACAAAACATTCTCTCCTTTTAAGTGTCACTGCACCTGAGACCCAATATTAAAATGCACTGTTTTAATCCAAACGGTATATACAACTGCTGTTTAGTCCTGATAGGACAGCTAATACTTGTTTTCTTAAGGATATTTGGTAAATACCATTTTGTGTGACTTCTTTGGAGATATTCAGGCAAAACTATTCACAAAACAGCCACAAACAACAAAAATATAATAATACAAAAACATGAAAACCAGACCCAAGGGAAACATTTAGACACATGTCAAAGTGCTTGGTAGTTTAAATGCATGAAGGAACATCATACGGTGTATTTCAGCATGGTATAGACCCAGTAAACATTGGTTTGGTTCTGTCTGAACTCAGTGACCTGTGTGAGGTTCAGGACTTTCAGTTGAGTCTGCAGACCTTCCCAAACAGATCGTGCTGAAAATATAAAGGCCTTCATGCCCAGGTCCTAAATATAGGGTGTGGGCGGGGCTGAAAAGGAAACAGGAACAGGAAGCTAAAACTGTGCAGCGCTCACTTTTGATTAAATAAAGATACGTCATCTAATATTCCGTATTAGCCCTGATTTAAAACGTCATTGCTGTGATTAGATCTGTGTGTTGGTGGTTTTCTTTGGGTTTATTATAATCACTTTGTTAGTTTGTACAGTGTGGTCAGTGTTTGTCATGGCAGCTCTCAGTGGATGGCAGTGCTGGACAAACATTGGCATCTGCTATCTGCTAATCAGATCTCAGTGGGGCCGATAGGGAGCATCAATCCTACTGTCAAAGTTTGGCAACCGCTGTAGATGTGTGTCCTGCTCTCAGAAACGCACAAATACACACTCGCATTGAGGACTGAAAATGTAAATCATCCATTCAAATCATTCCTGTTACATTTGCATTTAATTTAGCCACGAAAAGACAGATCGGAGAACCAAAGCGATCGAAGGTGTTCTCTAAATAATAAATGACTTTAAGTGCTACAATCACTAGGATTGTAATGATACAATCAACTCACAATACAATATGATTTGTTTTGTTTTGTTTTTTACGATTTTATCACTTTTCTTTTTTTAAAATAATCCCCGGGCATATTATGACCAAATAAACAGAATCCTTCATTTATAAGAACTATGCAAACAACTTGTGTCAACAACAAAGAACTAGCTGCAGAACATCAACATGTTAACTTGGAAAATGAAAAAGTTTGCAGAAAATATAGAAATTTTAACAAGTGATATTGAAAATGAAAACTTTAAGATGTTATTGATTTTTTTTTCTTTTTTGTGTCCAGGGGGAGACAGAGAGCGGATGACAGCCAATCATGAGACCTACCTTCTTATGGCCAGCACCCAGAATGACATGGAGGATTGGGTGAAGACTATTCGAAGGGTCATATGGGCACCGTTTGGTGGAGGTCAGTGTGAAAAATATCAGTGTTAGTGTTTTTTTTTTTTATCAACTGCCCAAAAAAGACCACTGGCCAAGAATGTTGGATGTGAAGTGTATCAGAAATACTGCTTTTGTAGCAGTTTTTCTCCAGCCTTTTTAGTGGGAACTTCAAAAACCCATGGTCATATGATGTAATCATAGAGCTTGTTTGCATAATTTATCTTTTTATTTTTTATTTTTTAATTTTCTTGGTATCTACCTGTGGATCGCCGAGTATCCACTGTAGCGCTGTAGTTTTGTTTGTTGTTTCTGACTGTACTGGCTGACACTGTGAGAGTGGGGTGAAAGTGCAGCACTTGTAATTCAGACAGCTCCCAGTGACACAGTGAATGGATGTAGCTGAGCTGGCCCCTCTTTTTTCCAGCTCTGGGAGTTTGATGTCTATTACAGTTGACTGCTTTTCAAAAGGACGAGCCATTTGTCAAAGATGCCACCAGAACGCTGGCCCCGACTCTCTCTCTCTCTCTCTCCCTCCCTCTCTTCCCCTCTCTCTCTTTCACAGACACACACAGAAAAACCATCACACACTGGCCTTTCACATTTTTGCAGTTGCAGCAGAGACTGTCCAAGTCTCAATGACTGATCTGTGCCTGTGAGAGTGTTGAGAGAATGACGAGGGCAGGAGAATCTCCCAGAGGGAGCTCGATACCCCGGTGTTTTGGTCATGAAGCAGAGCAGAAAAAAAATTCTATGAACTTGTTTCAGTGCGAAGTTTGAGAAATGTGCAGCTGTGGCTTCTCCATCTGGATTTTGGGAGATTTATGTCATGGTAATAACTCGCCGAATTTGTTGAAGCTACAGTACGTATGTTGTTGCTGCTGTATTTTAGTCTTTAGAAATATGATTCTTTATATTATATATATAAAAAATATATTTTGAAAATATATTTTATATATTTATACATATATGGGTGTGATTTTAAGTCTATATATGTATGTATGTGTGTGTATATATATATATATATATATATATATATATATATATATATATATATATATATATATATATATATATATATATATATATATGATCTACTTGTAGATCCCGATCCACGTATTTGGCACCCCTGTTCTAAGACATGTTAAAATATGGATACAGTAAATATTGGCATCTATTAGAAACAACATGGGCAACTGTTATTCTAGGTCGTTAACAACTGCTTTTTAGAAGAAGGAAGGAAGAAAGGAAGGAAAGGAGGATGGAAGGAAGGCTAAAGGGAAAGAAAATATATTATATTTTATATATTTAAACAAATTAGTAAGGTATGTATCAATGATGTGAAGTTCGGGAAGAGAAGAAAATAGTCTTTGTTATGTCTAGACTCTTGCCCTCCACTGTGTGTTTAAATCTATTTAAACAAGCGTGCATGTGTATGAAGTGTACGCTGCATTTTGAAGGAACTTCCTCAGCAGCTGGAAGTGACTCTTTTTTTCTTCCCTTCTCCTTGTCTTTGTTGTTGAAACACCTGGTTCAGACCAGTGAAGCAAACAGACATTAAAAAAAAAAAAAAAACAGTTCATAATATGGTTCACACATGTGACCTGGAAAAACATTCCTAAACTCATGACCAGAGCGTCTGGAGGAGGAATGACCTGGTTTTCATTCGGTCCTCCTTCTTCTCACTCCGTCTTGGCCGTTTGTTGCTGCATCTGTGTGGATATTTATCGTTTGTTTTTCCGTGGGAACCTGATTTATCTACTTGCCGACCCACACTGACCGTGCCAGGATTTGTCTGTCCGTTTAGTGTTTTTGCGTAGCTGTACAGACTGAAGTAGAAAATATTCCCAAAGAGGAGAAAAAAAAAAGAAGACGTCTGATCTGCCTTTTTTTTTCTTTTTAATGAAGGAAAACTTTCTCATAGATGAAAGCAGCATTTCGACTGGGCTGCTTTAGAAACGGATGCTGATAGTTTATGTTTAGTTTTTTGCCAAAGAAGCAGAAACATCACATGCTTCATGGAAAATGCTACAATGCAGGCGTTTTACAATCTGCACCTCTGGTATGTTATCTTATCACAAGCTTATTAATAGGAGGTTCCTTCGGAAACTTGCAAGTTTCAAGAGGGGTGAGTTTAAAAAAATGACTTTGTGATGAAGCTGCACTCTTGTCTGTGAATGTGTTTTTATTATTATTATTATCAGTAGTTAATTATAAAGGATTTTATGATTTCAAGCCATTTTATTCGCTGCCAAATGCCGTCAGGAGCACAGGGGTCCCGGTGAGCTGGGGTGAAACCCGTCACCTCGCGGCGCCCGGTCGTACCACGTGTGGGCATGTGTGAGTAGCCAGTGTCTGTATCTGCAGACCGGAAAAGTATGCAGATCTAAATCTCTCAGGAAGGCTGCCCTAATCCCCCTCCTCTGTTGCGTCCGTCCACATGAGACGGCCGCAGATGGAAATTTTGTCCACAGCAGCTGCCTGAGACAAAAGGCGAGAAGTGTTCAACAGGAAGTCGGAGATTTGATCGCCTGAGTGAAGCTCAGAGCAGCGCTGATACATATTTTATTACCAGGACTGTTTGGTCGACCTCGCTGTAGGTGGTTTGTTTTTTCTTCTGACTGGGAGGGAAATACAAACAGTAGCAACACTACCTGTTCCCACATTATAAAAGATTGGAAACGTGGACTGAATACCAAAACAAGTCTTGGTTTTTGTTTCTTATTCATTCCTCTTGTGACACTTTGTCAATTTGTTTTTTGTTTTAATTCAGGGATCTTTGGCCAGAAGTTGGAAGAGACGGTGCGATATGAACGCCGCTACGGGAACAAGCTCGCTCCAATGTTGGTAGAGCAGTGTGTGGATTTTATCCGGCAGTGGGGTCTTCAGGAGGAGGGTCTGTTCCGACTGCCTGGACAGGCCAACCTGGTCAAAGAGCTGCAGGACGCCTTTGACTGCGGAGAAAAGCCTTCATTTGACTGGTGAGGAAACAAACTCAAGTAACAGAGTACATGTCATTGAGTACTTAAATTACTTAACGTAAATAAATTAGAGTACTTGCTGTAACATTTTTCTTCATCTGTAATTTTAAACTCTTTTTTTATGCAGAAGAGTTTTTCATTTTCAATTTGATTATTCCCTGTTAAATAAATAAAAATAACAGTAAAACTGAGGGCAACATCTAGCAGGAATACACTGTGTATGTGTGAGTGTATTTAATTATTGATTATTGACTAATCACAATTACTTAGCTCTAGTAACTGTAGACGTGGAATTAATTTCACGCTTAAACTAAAACTTTTATTCTTTAAGTGATTCTCTTTGAAAAATGTATTTTGCTTCGTAATGTAATATAACATCTTAAAATCTACATCTGACTGTGAAGGTGTTTGATCAAGCGATGCCCTTATTGTCCTGGGAAAAAGTAATGACAAAAAAGTTCAATTACTGCAATGTAACGACACTTGGAACTGTGTCCTAAAGTATTATTATTATTATTATTATTATTATTATTAAAGTTAAAGAAATTTTATCATCGATACGCAGATTATAATCTCTCACCCCCTGGTGGCTGTACTGACACCTGAACAGCTGCTTTCCGCTACATCAACAATCATCCATCACTCAAGATGACACTGAAATGCAGGAGTAAATGAACATATGGCCTCAGCAGCCTCCTCTGCCCTGCTCCTCCACCCACCTCTACGCCCTTAGCCACTCCTTCATCTGATTGGGTGGCCATAAATACAACCCTGTAGATGGAACTGTCAAGATCGCAGCTGTAAATCACCGCCGGTGTGTTTAGAAACACTGGATACAGAACGACTTCCGGAAGTTCCACCATCATGTCAGCTGCACAAGTGCAAACCTGTGCTTCACCAGAGTGTAAATGTCACGTCGCAGCAGCTACAGCTACAGCTACAGCTACACCATCAGATTATTTTTACTCTGCGCGCCTACACCTGCCCAACCTGCCACCACGGCTCGGGTCGTTAGTCTTTCTCAGACTCTGGATACTTTGCATGTGATTCGTGCTGACGCAGCAGCTGACGTGATTTACAGCTCATGTCGTTTCATAGCTGTTTACATTAACCCTCCCCCCCCCACCACCCCCCGTCTCTCTGCAGTAACACAGATGTGCACACAGTGGCTTCTCTCCTGAAGCTCTATCTCAGAGAGCTACCTGAGCCCGTCGTCCCCTTTCACAAGTACGACGACTTCCTGGCTACTGCCAAGATCCTGGGCAAAGATGATGAAATGGTGAGAAATGTGGTGTTAAAGTACTGTAAGTTATACCTGCGTCACTTTCACACGCTCCTCAGTTGAGGTTCATGTTTTATTTACACTGTAAGTAAGCCAAAATGAATTCCAAAAAAAAAAAAAAAGAAAGCTGGACAGTCACAGTTTGACATGTGTTTTCTTGTGCTTCTCAGCATTCTGCTCCACAATATGTAATGTAGGATTATTTAACGGTTTAATGCAGTGGTCCCAAACTCCTGGCCCGGGGGGCCACTTCTAGCCAGCGAATGGGTTATATTTGGCCCTTGACCAGATGTCAAAAATAATTTGCGCTCAAATCTATTTTCAATTGTTTTTTTTTTAATTATTAAAAGATTTCAGATGTACTGTATGTAGATGTTGATGTTTAGATGTAGAAATAAATTAGCTATTTATTTTTAATACAATTATACATATGTTTGTCTTTCTGATATGAATTTGAATGAGTTTGTTCAACTGTTGACGTCGTCACCTAAAATGTGCCAACATCATCCTCAGGGTTTAAAGGAGTTGAGAAGACTCTTGGAAAGTCTACCTCCAGTCAACTACAACCTGCTCAAGTACATCTGCAGGTATGGATTATTCAATGAAAGAGTCTTAGAAAAAAACAATTCTACTCTTAGTTTAGCTATTAGCTTTGAATTCAAAATACACGACACGTACAAATACGAGTCAGATTTTGAATATTTGTTATAATTGCTTTAAACTTTTAAACTCAAAGTGTTTAAAAATAAACCAGTTTATGTTGCGTAGGACTGGTAATGATATTTTGAGAACAGTTAAATCCGTGAAGTTACAGGTTGTTTTTGTAATTGTTTGACTTTTGTTTTTCATAACCGCTCAATTAGAACTATCTTTTTACAAAAATTACAAAAACAAAAACAGAGTATGTGGTGAATTGTACACAGTACAAATTCTTATAATGCTAAAAAAAATTATTTATGTGGTGAATTGTACACAGTACAAATTATTATAATGCTAAAAAAAATCCTTTTTTCCAGGTTTCTAGATGAAGTGCAGTCATATTCCGGAGTGAACAAAATGAGTGTTCAGAACTTGGCCACTGTGTTTGGGCCAAATATCTTAAGGCCAAAGATTGAGGATCCAGTAGCCATAATGGAAGGTCCGGTCACGTTTTTGTTGTCCATGTTACCTTTTCACAGATCATTTGATTTCAGTCGTGATCATTTTCTTTAACAAAAACCATTGATGTGATTTTTCAGGTACAGTTTTAGTCCAGCAGCTCATGGCCATCTTGATCGACCACCATGATGTGTTGTTCCCTTGTAACGAAGACACCCCCACGGCCCTCGAGCTGGTCAACAACAACATCGAACCAACACGGCGACAAACCGCTGCAACTACCTCCACCCTCAAAACGGTGTCGCAGAACGCCGAGAACAACAACACACAGGTGGTCCGGCAGTGTGTGTGGGACAACCCCGAGTCTCCCTCTCGATGCCAGCACGTAGACAACACCGGCTCCCCGCGCTCGTCCAGCCCACTGAATGGCGTCATGGGACGTTTTGACATTACCCGCAGCCCACCACTGACTGTTAAAAAGAACCCCGCCTTCAGTAAAGGCAGTGGAATTGTTACAAACGGCTCGTTCAGCTCCTCGCCCTCCTCCGACCCCATTCAGGACAAGATGCAGGCTCTGAGTGGAGGAGGAAGCTTACCGATTCGGCGCAGTGGGGCTCTGAAAGGCTCCGGAACGAAAATGGGCACCAGTGGCGTCACCACAGGAATTGGCAGCGGAGGGAACGGAGTTGTCCGTATGGGAATCTCAGGCACCGATGTGGTCACGGGGAGTTTAAACGGCCGCAACGGCATCTGGGCACAAAACGGCTGCGTCACGTTACGGGTGAACAACAAATCGAGGGACTGCCCCAACGGGGATCAAACGACCAACCAGAACCGTCTGTCCACGTATGACAATGTCCACCTAAATCAACACAACCTGCAGATGCAGAACCAGATCACGAACGCCTGTCTGAACAACAGCTGCGAGGACAAACAAAGCGTAGACAGCGCCACGTGGTCCACGTCTTCATGTGAAATCTCACTTCCCGACAACTCCACCTCCTGTCGCTCCTCCACCACGACCTGCCCAGAGCAGGACTTCTACGGAGGGCACTTTGAGGACTTGGATGGACCAACACTGGACAATGAACCTCCTCAGTCTGCTGGAGCGGAGGTGGAGGGCCGAAGTAGCAACAAGGAAGCGGGCGGAGTCGGCACAGGGAGAAGCAGCCGAGGAACCAGCAGCAGTGACAATAGTGAAGGTTTCAGTGCTGCCAACGGGCCCGGGAGCCACAGCGCTCTGCACAGCTTGGTGGCAAGTCTGAAACAGGAGATGAACAAGCAGAAGACGGAGTACGAGGCCAGGATAAGAAGGTTTGGTTTCTGTTTCTTAACCTGTTAGAAATATAACAATAAAGTACTTTTACTTCATGTTCATGATAATGTTGAATCTGACGTGTACTGCAGTATCACTTTGTCGTTGTTGAATAGTACACCAAGAACTTTTAGCCAAACTAACTAGCCAAAATAAAAACCATTGGGGTCACGTGCGCCCTCTTCTGGTAGTTGCTGCCTTGCCTAGTGCAGGCCACAATTGCCCTAAAATTGAACGGGAGGGCCGGTCAGGTCAGGTCCCCTACATGTAAAAGTCATGCATAAAGGCTAAAATGCTAAAATGCTTTTATTGTTTTTTACGCCATCTATTGCAGAAACATAGCTTTGCAGGGAAAAGGAAGAAGTATAATGATAATATAACAAATTATATAATTTGGAAAGGTTTGGCGGGCCAAATTAAAAAAACTGAACGGGCCAAATCCGTCCCCCGGGCCTTAGTTTGCCCATGCCTGGTTTAACATGTTATGTACTTGTGTGAAATCTAGTCTATGATTGCCTTTGTTTTTTTCTAACCCAACATCATCCTGCTTTGTAGCTTGGAGCAGCGCAACCTTGAGCTGGAGTCAGAAATGGTGAACCTCCACGAGGAGCTGGACCAGGAGAGGAAGAAATACACCATGGCAGAGATCAAGCTGCGCAACGCCGAGCGCGCCAAGGACGACGCCGAGCGGCGAAATCAGATGCTTCAGAAAGAGATGGAACAGTTTTTCTCCACGTTCAGCGACCTCACCGCGACCGGCGGAACGACAGCGGCCGACCCACGGCGGTCGGATCGCAACAACGCCATCTGGATACAGTGAAGGATGATGGGGGACGTTGGTCGAAGAGGAGGGAAGACCAGAAACGAATGTGAATGTGAAATGTGAACGATGCAGGCTTCAAACGGGATTTGGCCTGCATTTATAAAGACAAAGGTCGGAAGTCACGTTAGAGAAGTTTTAATTTAAGAAGTATACTATGAGTATTAGTATACGCATCACCTGGAGTGATGTCAGGGTGACTTTACCTGTAAATACAGTAATATTTAAATTGTTTGTTTTTCCTTCGACCTGCTCCAAAAAAGCTCACCGTGGTACGTCTTTACCTGAAGGTGCTCCACAGTCTGTGGTGAAAAAGTGACCTACGTTATCATAAAGCAGCTCCAAAAGCCAGACAAGAAGGAAGGACGAGCATTTAAAAAGTCTCTGTAAAGCAAAACAAAAAAAAACACCAACAGCTGAAGACCACGTCAGGAATTCTCAGTATTTAAATTCTGTTTTTTTTTTTTTTTTTTTTTAAACATAACCAAAAAAAGCACCTGGATGTTCTCTGTGTTTCTATGTCACATTGTTTGTACATAGAGGAAAACAATGCAGCAGCCCCTGTATGTAAAAAGAGGAAAAATCGACTTTAAATGTTAAACTGATATTTAATCAAATTCATCAATATGTGATATTTTATATTAAGACATTTACTTGCACTTAAATGTTTTAGTGTCACACGTTGGTACTGAATGTCGTGTGTCTGTGTGTGTCACGATTTAAAAACGGAGCTCACTGTAACTGTGCGTGCGTGTGCCTGTGCTTCTGTGCTGTCGTATTTACCCTATGACCAAAACAACGAGCCTGTACTGTAAATATTTTATAACTGTCGACACTAATTGTTGGTCTGTGTTGTGATTTTACTCATGTGGATGTAGATGTGGCACGGATTGCAGCAGACTGAAGAACAGTGTATCTTGTAAAAAAAAATAATAAATTTGCACGATGGCGACTCGCACGTTGGGTCATTGGCGTGAATTCAGGATAAAGTGATGTTTGTTGTAGCAGAGCTTCTGAAAAATGAACAGTAACCTGGGAACTGCAGCTACTGTGTAGCTTCACTGCAGAATGTAAGCATTTGTTTATTATTTAGCATAATATTAGCCATGTGAGCAAAATATGGTTTTCCTAATACGTTTTTTTACAACTAGGAGTATTAAAATTTGTATACTTGCCTAAACTTAGTACCAATACCAATATTCTTAAGTTGAACTTTAAGAAATGTGTTTTATTCACCCATCAACAGAAGGCACACAGGGTGTTGTATGAAAATGTTCTCAAACTAACATATCAAAAAAACTACAAATAAAATAAAAATAAAAAGTGCATATTAAACACAGCCAAATTAACAGAAAGTGAGCAGAGCTTTTATGCCATTGGCACATTTTAAATCACCAAAGATTCAACCAAAAACTTGTCTCCTGCTTTCCGGTAAAGAGTTTCACTTCAAAGATGTAGTACTATTTTCATTTATCAATTAAACAAATGACACAATGTTGTCAGATACGGCCGACCAGTTGTAGTAAAAGGCCTTCATGGTCTATCTAGGTACTGGATGTGCCCCGTTTTTATTTAGTATTTGAGTATTTGATTGAAGTATCAGCCATTCCTGGTACAAATGTCTGTTCCTGGTCATTGCAGAACATCTAGAATGTTCACAAAGTGAGAGAAATTGCCTGAACAGAAAGGAGGCCTCAGTCTAAGCTCCTCATTTCACAGGAGAAGGACGGGGCTTTAGACCAGATCAAAGTGTCACTTCATTCTTTGAACTTAGACTCAGGGGGTGGAGGGACATTTCCAGGACACGATAGCTTAATCCACAAAATAACTGGAAAATGGTTCAATTTAAATGAAGGTTTTCCTGTGGGTCCCACTTTATTTACCATTATTTCTTTTATGCAGCATCAGTATTTGCATCCTAAAAATGCCAACAGACAATTCTGATCTGCAACTGCATATAAAAAATAGGAATGAGTTTAATGATGTAATATAGTAAAACTATAAATAAGTAATGAACTAGTTTTAGTTTAACTGAGGTCAACAATTTACATAACACTTTTAATAGTAATTTAGTGAATTCATACTTTGAAAAATAGTCTTATCATTTTACCACATGTAGTGTCACCAAAAGAACAAGATACTCCAAGATCAAAGGTTTCGTTTATTTTCAATCACATACATATACTATTTTTACATACACAGTTCCTTTAAAATGTTGTTTACAGGTACAGCTTTCAGTATTTTTTTTCTTTTTTCTTTTGCATTTGTTTTGACTTTATTTGAAACGTTAGCCTGAAGCTTTGAGATCAGCATGAAACGGATACAATTTAATTTTCTCTTTATTTCTTTTTTTTCTTAACCTGACAATGTCCAAAAAGAATGATTCGTCAAAACAGCACGGAGTAAAAGAAAGAAAAGAGAAGGAATTGTTTAAGAATTGAAGAACAACATCACCTGATTCAGATGAGCTTTACAGGGTTTCCCCACCGTAAAATCCCACATTTCTGCCCTCGTTTGAGTGTGTTAGCATCGCCCAACCTTTGCACTAGCTTTTCCTCTCTGTCTTGAGTGCAATAAAGTGTTTATTGCGTTATTGTATTGTTGTTATTTACAGTAAGACTTTAAAGTAAAAGACGTGAATTGTGATGAGATGGGGCGAAATCACAAATACCTAATGCAAAGATTTCCATGTTGGCACCACTGAGTACAAGATGTTCGGTGACGTCTACACTGGTGATATTAACTGTCAATCATTGTCATATTACAAGTGAAAGGCCCGACATGACTTGGATTTGATCTGATTTCGTACAATTTCACTCATTTTGTGACAATCATTAGGAACAGAAGTGCTACTAGGTGACACGTGTCTAACTCTAAAGTTATTGTGAAGTGAACATAAATATACATACATGGTCTAAATGCAAACACACAACTGCACTGATAGACATTCACATCAATCGTGACCCTATATCCAAAAGAAAATCTGTGGAGAAATGTAATGACATCAGATGTCCACTTGATGTCAGATCTCTGTTCCGGTTCAGATTAAAACCTTTACAGAGTTTGAGTTGAATGCTGGTTAATTAAAACTCCCTTCACACGCCTACTCACACACTCTCTCACACACACAAACACTCACACACACGCACACACACACTGATGAGCAGCAGAGCAGCAATAGTGTGCGCAGTTGTGAAGTCATTCGTTTCTACATTCAGCTGCTTTGTGTCAAATTCATGTCAGCTTCGGATGCGTTACAGGAACAAAAGCACCGTTTATATTACAACTGAATTGTATAGAGGGATGTGTTACAAAAAAGATTCACATTCAGAAAAAAATAACCTGATGAAATAAATAAAATTTTTAGTACTCAGTGACAAAGAGACTAGAACTCAGAGTGTGGTCTGGATGGATTAAAACACCCTGTAGAAAAACGGCAAGAGTATTGTGGTTGGTTGTGGTGCAGGAGTCGACTCAAACACTAGGACGTCTCCCTCACTATTTTTTTCTTTTTTTGTTTTTTAATTTTATTTTCAAAACACAAAGGATTTCAAAGCTGCACCCTGTTTGGAACGACTGCCCTGGCCAGACCCTGAACAGAAAGCCAAGCTAGCCGTAGCTTATCCTGGAGACGCTGCCGTCAGTTTCCTTCTTCACTGTGTGAAGTACAGTGAAGGTGTCTGTGTGTGTTGGTTTTACTGTGCCCACGTCACACGCAGAGAGTGAGTGTTAACAACATAGCCATTAAGAGTGAGGTGAGTGTGTGAAAGTCCTAAACCATATCTGTTCAACGAATGCTAACCATGTAGCCTACACACTTTGGTCATGGAACTATCAGATTTAAGGTGACATATTTGGTCAGAAATGGGTTGATTATTACTGTAAAGGGTGTTGAAAACATGAGAGAGAGAAATACTCGTTTCTGTGTACTAAAATAACATAAAATCAGAAAGAGTTTTGCTAGCAGTTTAGTTAGCAATTAGCAGGAAGTGTCCAGCTAATAGAGTTAGAAAACTTTTATGGGTTTCAACTCCACTTAAATATCAAAGGAAGCAGAAAATGGTTGATAAAGTCAAATGTCTGTCTTAAACTGTAATTTATAATTTGTTGTCCACAAACCAAGACTTCTTAAGTCTACTTTAATGTGTAGAATCAGTAGCACATAACTCAGTACTAAGAGCTAGTACAACTTATCGGACTAACTCAGTACAGCTTAATTTAAAAAAGAAATTAATTAGTTACATTAGCAATTTAATTAACAACTAATTGTTAAAGCTGTTGCTCCATGTCAGTGGTTTTCTCCCCATAAAAATGGATAAAATAATACTAATAAACTTATACTAATATTAACAGCTAAAAACAATAAAACAGACTTAAATTGTTTTCAGTTTAACTAAAATAAATACACAACATACAAATGACAACTATTTAACCAAGGGTGTTGGTTTCAGTACAGATTCATTTACACTTTTCAAAAAAAAAAATGAAATAATTTAAAGCGCAGTGAGTAGTGAAAATAAATTATGAAATTCATGTTTAGTTTTTTTAAAGGGACAAAAACAAAATGTAACCTTTAAAATGTTCTCTCCAATTCCAACACCTTTAGTTCCCGGGGGTTAGAATAAGTAGATATGGACTTTTGTTTGTTTTTTGTTTTTGTTTTTTTGGGGGGGGGGCTACTCCATGTGTGCAGACTACCATCATTTTAAGGCAGACAAAGAAAGAAGCCGTGGAAAAAAAACATTAAAAAAAAGCTCCTTGCTCCTGACATGCGTTCCATTCCAAAGGCACTTGCCATATTCAGCTTTTGTCTTTCTTTTAAAAGAAATAGCAACATAAATAAATCTGAGCTAAGTCAAAAAAGATAATAAGTGACTTCTGTCCAGTTCCCGTTTTTATTTGTTCCATACCAGAGACATATCACATGTTTTGATGTTATGCTAGGAAAAACTGTCAGTTGACTTTTTACAAGTAAACGCTACAGGGTTAACACTCCTCAGCTGCAGCCGCTCAGGATCATTTAAAAATGTAACTGTAAATGTAAAGGTGGTTATGTGGTTTTTTAGGAGTCAGAGGAGCTTCCTTGTGATTTGACCACAGCGCAGAGTTAGACTGAGCTCCTGTTTCTGTGAGGGGTTAATGGTACACGATGACATGCAGGAGTGGTGGAGGCCCTGAACGTACGCCAGTGTGAGGAATTAAAAGGGACATTTCACGCACATCCGGATCCTTAAAGGTAATCATGTGAACTCTGAGCAGAGTTGCAATAATGTGTTCCTTTTTTTCTCCGCGTAATGACCCTTTAAATCCCATGTCTAATAGCCCAGACGTTTTCTAATGTCTTAATGGCCTGTCTGTCTGTCTCTCTCCCTCTCTCTCTCTCTGTCACACACACACACACACCAGACCCCTCCACCCCATGCCTGGACTTGCGTTAGTTCACATCATATATAAACAAAAGTCTCAATGCAGACGTTATTCAGCATACAGTGAGATTAGCATTGTTTAAAATCGTATCATGCAGGGTTTGAGCAGTAGGCAGGGGCAACTGAGGTGGAAGCAGTCATGTGGCAAGGTGCGCTTTTGGAAATTTAAAAATAAAACAACAACAACAACAACAGAAAAAAAAAGGAAAACTCCCAGCGTACTGGCCGTCAGTCCCACTCTGTGTGCCCTTCAGCTATACAGAATTACATTATTTACAAGAACCACAAGGGGGTAGCGTCGCTCGGAGTGAGAGCAACTACAGATCCCTGCAGAGAAATCACATGGAAACAAACAACTCAGGCAACCTTACTGTTACATCGGGCGGGGTTTTGCTCTGGTCCAATCAGGGTGTAAAACACAGCAGTGTCGTTACATTAGGGCTGGGCAGGAGAGAGGAGGAGAATGGAGTTGGTATTGTACAGTAGTGATGTGCCAATGGCAGCCCACCTTGCCACAATGATCGAAGCATAACTGCTTTTGGATTGGGATTGGGGGAGACCAGCAGCCAGCCAATATGCACTTTGCAGAAGATGCTGTTCCAAGCATTTGGTCATTTAGTTTGGATGCCATATACAGGATATTTGGGGTAATATATGCAAAGCAACAAGAGAATCATTAACATATACCTCAGCTCATTTACTTCAGTTTAAATACCATTGCTGTTTTTTAATGACAATGCACAGGCTTGAGAGGCTTTTTATCACGTCAGATTTCATTAGCCATATTTTTGCTTAAATGTAATTCCATGTAATTATTTACTCGTTCTTTTTTGTTCTTTTTAATTTTTTTTTTCTTCTTTTTTTTAAATTGGTCATTTTGATTGGGTTCTTCACCGTCGGAAGAACATGGGGTTGCGCAGGCAGGCGGCTAGTCACCTGCAACACCCCAGGGGTCCTGCAGAGGTCTCCAGGCTGCTGTCAGTGTCTGAGGCCAGGGTCTGGTCGGTGGACATGGAGGAGATGTCGTTGATAGAAGAAGAGGGAGGGAGGCTCTCGCTGCTGTTCACGGCTGCACCTGTGCTAAGGGAATCAACAGCAGCAGGAGGTTACAACGTAAAAGAGTCCTGGTCAACACACTGGCACTACTACAACCACAGTCATCATCACGGCCTGCGCAGGTCCCACCTCAAGGACAGTTACAAGGTAAAAGAACACTAACATTTACTTTCATCTTTATTTATTGGAAGTGTTTTACCGACGTACTTTATTATATAGGTTAAGTGCAGAAAAATGTACCTGTACGACTCACTCCAATAATGTTAGGACACAGGAGTAAACAAATCAACGTGCAAAAAGTTTGTCTATTTTAACTAGTCACTTTTTTAATTTTTTATATTCTGTTAAAGCTTAAATTTCTTTTGTAGTTTGTTTTTATATAAACGAAGCCACCAAGTTTATGCCTAAATCATCCTCAAATCATAGGAGTACAAGTACAAGTCTTTGTACTCAAGTCCATGCAAATTCTTAAGTCCTTGTTTTGCAGTACAAAATGTGGTCTCATGTTTTGTCTTTGTACAAACTGACTTTGGTCTCTAACATTTTTGGAGTGTGTTGCAGGAATCAGTCTGTGTTAAAACTCAATCTTTAAGTCTCTTTTCCTGGAAATTGGGATTGTTAAATTCACACAGAGGGTATTATAAAAATATACTTGATACAAAGAATATCAACAAACTTGTGTGTGTGACAGGACAATCACAAAAATTGCATGTGAGACAATAATGTGTTAAGGTTTGTGTCCAGTGGGATCCAATGGTCTTTGTAGAATCTCTGTAATCCAGGTCATATCAGCCGTCAGGTTCTATCAACCACCCATCTGACACCCTTGAACC